TCAACATGGTTCCTCAAGAGGAAGGCCAGGGATAAATCTGCTGACAAAATAAGTTTTCAAAAATAGCTCACTTTAGAATCTCATTATTTGTAGCTGCTTGTCAATTAAATGTGTTCACTTTGTTTTTCAAACTGGTAGATTATTGGACAAAACTCTATATTGTAGTCTTTTATGGTCTAATTTACTGGGCCCAAAAATTTACTTAGTGGCTACATACAGTATGTGCTGGATGTTTGCATGACTGACATGACTGATAAACCTAATATTTAATAGGCAAAATGTGTACCTTCTGTCACATTTACTTCCTGTTTTATTTTATTGTAAAACAGGAAGTTGTATTGGTTTTATTTATTGGTTTATTGTATTATAACACATTATTTTCCTTTTTATATGTTTTCTTTTGTGCTATATCACTTTCTCATGTTGCATTCCAACTTGTGTTGAGTTCAGTCTGCAAATACCAGAAATTTCTTCATCACCAAGAAAACAAAGCAAAAAGAAACCTCCTCATACCCGTATTTGGGTCCTCAAGCTATCCTGTCACATTCACTCACCCAAATATCACWGTGTAAAAAGCTGGGTTTCGTGTGTTTGTATGGTGATATTTTTGTAAACAAACCTATAAGTGTACCTTTTAAATTATCATGTTTCAAACACGAGTATTTAATGTTATCAACATGCACTGTTAATGCATTTATAAAACTCAGGATGTCATTCTCTCAATGTGAGGGCAAAAGATCTAAGCAAAGTGACATTTTTGTAAAGTACACATGTACACACACAGAACTAGGGGTGTGAATCACCAGCTTRATCACAATACGATATATCAATTTGTTTGGAGAACAATACGTTTATCATGTCTGTCATAATACAGTTTTGATACAATTAAAGTCTGCAATTGATATAATGCAATATTATATGCCAATCTAACACAAAGATTGTGTTAGATAAAAATGTCAATTCAAATCAGGAACATAACAGCATGTGGATCGATGTTTTCGTTTTACCTTGAAGCTAATCAATTAAATCATTTGRAGCCTTTCACCTCCTCTGGATGGCATTAATCTGGCCTCCAGTTCTAATGTAAAGAAACTTGGTGTTATTTTTGATCAGGATATGTCTTTTAACCCCCACATTAAAAATGTTACCAGGACCGCCTTCTTCCACCTGCGTAATATCACTAAAATTGGAAACGTTTTGTCCAAAAATGATGCAGAAAAACTTATTCATGCATTTATCACGTCTAGACTGGATTACTGTAATTCTTTATATCTGGGCATCCAAAAAACTCTTTAAGAAGTCTTCAGTTYATCCAAAATGCTGCTGCTAGAGTTTTAATGAGAGTTAGAAGGAGAGATCACATTTCTCCAGTTTTAGCTTCTCTCCACAGGCTCCCTGTCAAATTCAGAATAAAATTTAAAATATTACTCCTAACATACAAAGATCTTAACAACCAAGCTCCAACATCTTATTGTTCCATACTTTCCTAACAGAGCACTTCGCTCTCAGACTGCAGGTTTACTTGTGGTTCCTCGAGTTTCTAAAAGTAGAATGGAAGGCAGAGCTTTTATTTATCAAGCTCCTCTCTTGTGGAACCAACTTCCAGTTTCTGTCCATGAAGCTGACACTCTATCTACTTTTAAGATTAGACTAAAGACTTTTCTTTTTGATAAACCCTATAGTTAGACTTAGGTTTCCAGAAATATTTTTCATTTCTGCTGCTGTAGACTTAGACTGCTGGAGCACAAACTGAGCACATTTCTTCACTTTGCTGTTGTCTTTAGTCTCTCTTCTCTACATGTTTATTGTAATTATTTCTATCTACCGACTGCCCTGAGCCTGGTTCTGCTGGAGCTTTCTTCCTGATTAGCAGGGAGTTTTTCCTCTCCACCGTTTGCTCAGGATGGGAGACTGTGATGAAGTGATTCAACGCAATCTGCTGGCTTCTTCTTTAGATTTTTTTTCTTTTCATGTGCAGTGCCCCAAAACAACGCTTGTTGTGACTTGGCTCTATATAAATAAACTGAATTGAATGAACTGAATATTATTACACCCCGACAAATTACAGTGCAACATAAACTTATGCAGTTTTAGGATTAATTCTAGATGTATTGGTTTATTAACTGATGAAACCTGACATATTAAATAAGTAAATKAATAAAAATCTTGCAACAACAACTCATCTGCATTTCCTGCTGTTTGTGCTCTTTACTGACACCTACAATTCAGGAGGAGAACTGCATCAGCACCAGTGTGAATAGAGCAACAAATACTCAAAATGTTCTTAAACAATTGTGTATCAACTTATATTTTAGGGGAAAAAAGGTTCACCTAAATATTTTTTTAATATACAAGTTGCTTCTGTCCTTGAATTACTCAGAGTGTTAAACACATCTGCTGCTGGCAGTTTTATTAAATTTGCACTAAACCTCATTTATTTAATAATTATGAGTCAAGTTTTATAAGAGTGATACTGTTTTTTTAGAGGGCCTGCTTTTGAGTCATAATTTCCTATTAGACAGCAAAATAAGTGTCTCAATAACTGACACAGGACCTTTTTTGCTTTTAGATTGCATGGACATTTTAATGTGTTGAATCAAACTTAGTTTGAATTGCATGAAAAGCTGAAATTAGGGGCTGACCGCGTCTCATTGCGTTGGAATTTGCTGCCCGTTGAGTTTTTGTCATTGTATCGAGACAAGTACATTGGTCACAATCTGGAAATGCACAATCCTTGTACACGTGTAATCATAATTCAACATTTTGAAAAAGTGAGGTCTGGGAACAAATTTGATCACCTCACTATCACCGTTGATCTCTTGTTTCTAGTGTGTGTTTTATATATATGAAAAAAAAGATAAACAGCGTGTTCACTGGCAGCCTGAAGCTCTTAGGCCTTCTAATCCCTAATCCAAGGTCTGTGGCAGATTAATAGAAAACCCTCAGGGCATATCACAGAGACAGGGATGGACTGTTTTTATAGATGGATGAMTGGGACAAAATGATGGGAAATGAAAATAAATTTTGGGACTACTAACACAGAGAAAAAAAGAATATGCTGATGAAATAATAAAACATATTCTTCTTATGGCAGATGAAGCAGGGTAACAATGAGCAGAAGTTGTCAAAGAAACCCCAGATCTGAGCAGAAAAGCTCCTACAAATCTCAGATCGACACTTTCATTAGCTCTTTTTGAATCTGAGCTATAGACAGCAGATCAATGGCTGACCAAAGAGCCCATGGCAGGGCTAATGTTGGCAAATTACCCCACTTTTTTTTTAATTCCCCCATTCTCTGTCAGACTTGACTCTGCTCCCACCTCCCTCTCAGAAATTCCCATTTCATCTCGCTTTCACCGAGGTAATTCCAGACAGTAGATGCGCGCCCTTGTTGGCATCTCTCTCTCTCTCTCTCTCTCTCTCTCTCTCTCTCTCTCTCTCTCTCTCTCTCTCTCTCTCTCTCTCT